TGGCTGGCTGGCTGGCTGGCTGGGGAATTCTGGGGTGTGAAGTCCACTCATCTTAAAGTGGCCAAGTTTGGACAACACTGGATTAGGCAAGTCTGCATTAAATTAACTAAAACTTTATAGCACCCAATCTGGATTGGAAACAAGGTGCAGGAAAACAGAGATTAGCACTAGTCACTGCACTATTTTTCCACTGAAAATATATCCCCCTCCTCCCAAATAAAAAGGATCAAAAAAATTGGGAATGAGTTTCTACTGGAAAATGACAAGGGGGATGAGAATTTAACAACCACTGTCCCAGTCTAAATGAGGAGCACTACGTGGCTCTTGTGCATTACTGTATTGAAAAAGAAAAATCCTAAGCACGGGATTTAGACATAAAATTGAAATCATACTTAATTTGGTTAAAAGCATAACAAGTATTTAATCTTGGTTGAACTTGTTTTGGCTAAATAAACTACCCTGAAGCAAGCAGGCAATTCTATAGCTCAATTTCAACAGAAAAAAAATATATATGCTCAATCTTACCTTATAACACAAAGTAGCCAAATTGGAAGGAGATTCTTCCCTCACAGCTCTGATTTCTGCAGCAGGAACTAAAGCAAAGACGTCTTGGACTGAAGTAGCTGTATCTGCCCAGAACTGGTCCCAGAAGGCATCGTCTGTGGCCTCTACAGGCTGAAAAAACAAAATAAAATAAAAATCAATTTGGAAACATAAAAGCTATAAAAAGCTGATCAATATTCATACTGCTTAATATTGGATCTGATAAGTCTGTCAAGATACCTCAAGATTCTTCTGCAAATTTCTACTAAAAATACAAGGCTGAAAAAGATTATACTGAAAAAGATTATACTGAAAAAGATTATACTATACTGTACCATGAAAGCAATCCAACATTCCAGACAGATTAAACATGAATGCATCTTTAATACAGTAAGCTACGATTGATGGTATGACTAGAAAAAATGGAGGAAAAATAATGCAAAGAAGTTTTTACTGACTAAAAACAACACAAGGTAAAAAAAAAAAAAAAGCTGTGATATAAAAAAAATTTCCTATCAAAGTCAGAAACAACTTTATATGCATGGATAGAGCAATATACTTCATTCTGTACGTTCATACTATGACTCAGGGACTACAAAATATCTTCAATTATTCTTCAATTACACAAAACGTTGTTATTCTTTGTAATAAAACTATGCAGAAAATATTTTAGTACGTAGTACAGATCTAGTGCTCTAGTCATTATGGTTTAATGGTTTAATGCATCCAATAAGCCAAGATATGACATGAAACATATATTCTAGCTTGACCCCTTCTCCTGGCGTGACATAATAAAGATTCAAAAAGCAAACAGCAGCTCTTGACCAATAGCCATTATTCTGAACAATCACTGGTTTTAAATTATATTTAGGGAAGATGAGTGAGAAGGAAAAATATGTTTGTTTAAAATAAAGCAATTTCCTGGCTTACATTTTTTCTGAAGTTAGACTACGGAGGGTTGTTTAAAAGCAAGGCAACACTTGATTAAGAATTGGCTGTGATGAAGGAGCATTGCCTTATCAAATAGGCGATACGTCATTAAAACAGAAAAGGCACAAAGTAAAAGGAGGTAAGCAAAGTATAAACTAGTTGAGCAGGTTTTGTGGCTCTACTAAGACTGGGACTCGGCAAGGGGATAATTTTACATAATGAAAAGAAACATATCCTCCTGATATTAAGGAATGAATTCAAGATATGAGCTTGTTATCAATCTTTGAAAAGTCTTTAATTCTAAAAATGGGAAGATGAAGCAATATATGGTCTAGATTTAATGACAAATTTAAGGATTGAATTAATCCCACATTGATACTAAGTGAATAGTATACGGATCTTTTTAAATTAGTTGTTTCCTCTTCTATTACTTTTAGTTTATTTTCATTACTATAATGTATGTAGGGTTTTTAAAAATCATATTAACACTACCATATTTTTGTTGGCTGGTTGGTGTTGTAGTTGTTTATATTTCACTATTTAAATTTTTAAAATTTAATACCCACCCCACTCCAAAAGTTTAAAATTAGAAGAGCGGGTTTGTCCTGAGGTGGTTTTGTATTCCTTTACAGGTTCATGCCAACAACTGCCCTGCCGCCATCCTTAAACTATAAAATAAGCCCCTTTAAATTCCATACCAGTAGGCACTTAGTCACAGGTGACTGCTTTAATACAGGAAGTATTTGCACATTTAGCCAATGGATAACAGAACAAATCTGCATTCAGTTCTTCTCATGAGAAAGGAGAGGAAGGGTGAGGCATGTCAGATAAGTTAAACACAAAAACATGCCTATGAACGAATCAAGTATTTTTGTAGAACATCTGCAAAGCTACTGTATATGGCAGTAAAAGAGAACACTTACGATGGAATTCAAGTTAGAGGATGCTTGTAAGTGGAAGTGGCTCTCAGTCTGGTCAAAACAACCACTGTGCAAAGTAAGTATTATTGCTATAATTGGCGAGAACTGTATTCCTTAATTCAGTGTTGTCCAAACTTGGCCACTTTAAGATGAGTGGACTTCAACTCCCAGAA